TATATATATATATATATATATATATATATATATATATATATATATATCAGCATCCAGTTGGAGTTTTGTCCGAAAATAAAAAGACTCATCATGCTGCCACACCTTCTGGATCCTTGTTTAACAACATCCATGGATTAGTGGTTGTTGAAGGAGTACACAAATACGTTGTTTTTCTGTCTCTCAGGTATCAAGCCGTACCCCAAGTTTACAGCAATCATTCATGTGGTCACCCCACTGGTCTCTCAGTCCCAGCCGGTGATGAAGCTGATCGTGGCTGTGGCCAAATCTCAGTACTGTGCTCAGGTGAATAAAAACTGTTTTTTGTTTTTTTGTGTGAGCATGCATCAGGATAAAAACTGTGTTTCCACTATTAATATAATCCAGTATTTTGCTTGTTTAGTAACGCAGTGAGTTCAGTTTACTTTGAAGTTGTGTTGCTGAGATGTTGGCGTGTTTCAGTGTGTTGCTTTGCTCTAGGTGGTGGGATGGTTCCTAAAATAGATATTTTCTGCATCAGTAGTATGTCAGTGTAAGAAAAATAATCCTCTGAAATAAATTCTTTATGTTGGTTAATAAATACTGTATGGTGACTTGTTTAAGGGTTTAAATGGATATGAGTTATGAAGTAACATTAAAGAATGTGAAGCGTTGCAGCTTATGCTTTCTTGGTTTTGCTTTTGTTCAGGTGATAATTCTCTGGAACTGTGACAAGCCTCTCCCTGCCAAGCACCGCTGGCCTGCCACCTCCGTCCTCATCACTGTTATAGAAGGAGATAACAAGGTAAGAGTTTCTTCCATGAACTTCTGAAGACGTTTTGGGCTGTCCCTTGTCTTCGATCCTGTTTGTGGTGTTCATAGACAGGATTCAAAGTGCTGTCCTGGAGAGGATGGTTTCTGGTTTGGGAACCTTGGGGTCTTATTCCTGCCTTATGTGGATGATGTAGTTCTGTTGGTGGTGGTGGTGGTGGGGGGGGGGGGGGGTCTCAGCCTTAGAGATTAGGTGAGGAGCCCTGTCATTCGTGGGTAGGTCAATGTAGAGTTGCTGCTCCTTCACATTGAAAGCCGTCAGTGTGTGTGGTTCATCTGAGTATGATGACTCCGTTTGGAGTTTTTTCAGACATGTCCCACTGGTAGGAGGCCCCGGGTCAGATCCAGAACTCTCTGGAGGAATTGTGTATCTTCTCTGGTCTGGGAACATCTCAGGTCCCCCAGGAGGAGCTGGAGAGTATCTCTGGGGAGAGGGAGGTCTGGGTTTCTCTCCTGGACGTTGCCTCCACGTCCTGACTAGATAAATGGTAGAAGATGGAGATTTTAAACTTGCTTGTTTTTTTTAATTATATTTTAACACATCTCAACATTTTCAGAGTATTAGTTGAAAACTTTCCATTATTTATTGACTTGGTAAATCAGCATTTACTGCAACTCCATGCTTCAAGGCTGCAATCACAACTGTTTCTTGTTTTTAATGTCCGCTTTCATGAAGAAATTAAAAATTAGATTTTTCCTTCCCTTCTCTGGTTGTTTGAAGTAGTTACATAGTTTAAAGCTCATTTGTTTTTTTTTCCAAACAGACCCACCTGACTGTCCACCATATTTACCCTCTGATGGACCCTGAACTGCACGTTAAAACAGTTTCCTTCCTCTCACACTCCTTTTTGTTTGTGTTGTTCAAACGACACTAGGTGATCAGCGGTCGGTTTCTTCCCTGCGACACCATCCCCACTGACGCTGTGCTCAGTCTGGATGAAGACACTGTGCTGTCCACCACTGAGGTCAGTCTTCCTGCTAACGACATTAAACATTACAGGTCGTTTTATCAAAGACCGAGCTTTATCCACTTCTTCTTCTACTCAATTCAGGTGGACTTTGCCTTTACGGTGTGGCAGAGTTTCCCTGACCGCATCGTTGGTTACCCAGCCCGCAGCCACTTCTGGGACAGCAACAAGGAGCGGTGGGGCTACACCTCCAAATGGACCAACGACTACTCCATGGTTCTGACGGGAGCTGCCATCTATCACAAGTACCGACACTCCTCTCTGTTTTTTAACGAAATCTCCAACTACCATCACACACTAACCTTAATATGTTGTTATTTCTCTATTCTACTAAACGTTATTGTTTGGGACACATGAAAACTCTTTATTATTAAAACAATTATATGTTTTTTTCTTTTAGGAATAGAAATGTCGCCATTTTATTTACCACCACAATGCATTCTGGGACGATGACATGCATCAGTTGTAGTGGAGACTAAAACACAAGGAGTTGAGGCTAAAACAATAAATCTTGTGGCAATAAAATTATGTTTTAGACTTTGTGCTGTTATGCACAAAATATACATCAAAACAATCAAAGCTGGTCAACTAGTAATGTTTAATAGCTCTGGAGCTAATATGAAAGATGGGTCATTTATCCATTCTCTCTGTCATCGCGCTCCCTTTCTGATTCCATAATTAACATTTACGCTGAACGGAGCTCGCACAGGAGCAACCTGACAATGTCATCTACCCAGAATGCATTGCTGCTTAAATTAAATGGTGATGTCCATATGTCTTTAATGAAAAATAAAAATTAACTCCTTACTCCATCGTTTTTCTGCCACAGATATTACCACCACTTGTACACCACCTACCTTCCAGAGAGTCTGAGGGCCATGGTTGACCAGATGTCAAACTGTGAGGACATCCTCATGAATTTTCTCGTGTCGTCAGTGACTAAACTGCCACCCATCAAGGTCACCCAGAAGAAGCAGTACAAGGAAACCATGATGGGACAGGTGAGGCAGGAGAGGACTGTGTTAGTTTATCTCTGAATGTTGAACAAGTACAGCATCAGACCGATCATGTTGTTGAGGCTTCAAGCTTTTTGTTAGATTGTTTACTTAAAAGTTTTACTGTCTAGTCATGTAAACATAAGGACTCAGAGTCACTGATAGCTGAGGATTATTTTTATTTATTTATTATTTATTTATTATTTACCTGGATAAATAAAGGGTAAATGAAAAAAATAATAATTTTATATATATATATATATATCGGTCAATAAACGTTCTCTTGTCTGGACCATAACTTCTGTTGCGCTCTAGATAGTTTGATGAAACTTCGCACATATATGCATCATCAACAGACTGTGTCCCATACTCTTTTTATTGCCCCAGTTCTAATGTCAAGGTCACAAATCAAGGTCACACGTCTCTGCTTGTCCAGGCCATTCCTGTAGATTGTTGTATAAGTTTGTTGACGGGTGTAAAATGTTCCGTATGTTGTACACCTGTTTTATGTGATTCATCCTTTTGTCTTCCTCCCACATCAGTTTCTCACCCGTCTCCTGTTTTGTTGTCAGAGCTCCAGAGCGTCCCGCTGGGCCGACCCGGACCACTTCGCCCAGCGTCAGACCTGCATGAACAAGTTTGCCAACTGGTTTGGCACCATGCCTCTGGTCCACTCTCGAATGAGGCTGGACCCAGTCCTGTTCAAAGACCAGGTGTCCATTCTCCGGAAGAAATACAGAGAAATTGAGAGACTATAACCCTCCTGAGAACCCCCCCACCCCCACCCCTATGCTCTGTGGACACAATAAATAAAGAGCGAGGGGGAAGATGATTGTGTGGATCAGTGGGGAGTTAAACCGGATCAGGTTCTGGAGAAGAGGATGTGAAGAAGTTATGTTCTTCATGCTGCCTCCTTCTGGTTTCAGGGGTTCAGTGGGTCATCTGAGCCCAGAGGGCCTGTGTGAAGACCATGACTACCTGCTAACTGCCCCCCAGGACATAAAACTGATGGTCTTGGGTCATGGAGTCAGAAATCCCAGCTTGTGTTCTGTTAGTATGCACAGGTTCTTGAAAGGTTTCACAGACACTGTGTTCTTAATGCTGACGAGGAACATAACACTATTTTTGATTGTGTTTAGCTATTTTTTTACACAGTAACTGAACGAGAGCTACTCTATGTTGTCTTAACGAGAACAGACGGGGGGTGGGGGGGACTGGATGAAGTGGCTCTGACAAACACAGTGCCTCACCGTCAATCCAAATGTTTTAGGATCTGATAATCAGAAAAAGACTGGAAATGTTGCACCTTGATCTTGCTGCTTTTTCTTTTCTTTGTTTTGTTTTTTTCTTAAATCCAATAACAGTGTGATTTTTGTGCTCCATAACAAAGGTTTGTTAACATGTTATTAATGCAGGTGATCAAACGTAATGTGCCATTCTGAACTGTTAAAGTCAAACTCCCAAAGCTGCATTTCACAGTTGATGCACGTCCCCAACAGGCCAATGATTGTTATTATTGAACTGATTTATTTCTTGGTTCTGTAAAGATTTCCTGACGAACCACAAATATGGTCCGTTAGAAACGAAACCCTCTGTGAAATCCACAGAACGGCTCCGTACGGTCAAGCTTGGCGAGAGGAATTTATTTTCCATCATTGTCTGTAAGCCAGGAGCCCAGTTTCATGATCGAACTGACGGCAGCGGAGGCTGACATGAAGCTCACTGCCAGGTTTTTATCCACTGAGCTCACAATGATGTGGTAGTAGCTGAGAGTCCTGCCCAACACATCTCTCTTATTTTCAGTGGCCTGTAAATCTGACATGACTTCATTTTTTAAAGGCTTTTATTTTCTTGTATGCGTCATAATAAAACTTCAGATTGGTCACAATTCATAGGAGGAGTTGTGGTGCAGAGGTTGGAGAAGGTGGGCTTATGATTGGAAGGTCGCCGGATCAACTCCCCAGACCAACAACATCAAAAAGTTTGTGGGAGAGGTGAAACATCCACACCTGCCTCCACCCTCACTTGCTCCACCCTGCCTGGGCCCTTGAGCAAGGCACTTAACTACCACCCCCATCTGCTCCCCCGGGTGCCCTAGATAGCAGCTGTCTGCTCCACCCAGAGGGCCGCGGTAGCTCGGTGGTCTGTGGTTGCGTCAGGAAAGACATCCACCGTAAAAACAATCGCCATGTCTTTGTGCGACTTACCGGTAGTAGTCCCTGAAGAAGGGAACAGCCAAAAGAAGAAAAAATAAATATTTTTGTCACAATTCAGTCTGATTCCCTCTAAAGAAGCGTTTAGTTTATTTGATCTTCAAAACGTCACGAGCGAAACAGGAAGTTGATGTTCGGCTGCGGGTTGAACCTTCGTTTGGTGTACTGATCCCGTCGGCTCTTCTTGTCCTGGCGTGTTGAATATTATCTGAAGATGTGAACGGGCTCTCATGTTGAACAAGCGAAGCCACAACGTGTCCCACAGACACACACACACACACCGTGCGCGCGCAGCTTCAGTGTGAGAGAAACGACCGTTTTACTGAACTCCTTCACAGCCTCCACTGTTTTGTGCCAAGAAAAGATTTGTGGTTCCTGTCTTTAATGGACATTGGAAATCACCACTCCTGTTTTTGTTTGTGTCATTAAATGTTTTCTGTCAGGAGTGTGAGAGAGGAAACGTTTGGTTTGGATAACGCACTCAGAGCTGCAGTTTTTAGGACATTTTTCTTTTTGTTTCAGAGGAAGGGTTTATTTATTGATGTGCCTTCAGAGGAAATCCATTTAGGACTTTGTTATCTGCCTTGAGCACCAGCGAGCCGTGGCCGTACGTTTGACAGTATACGCTGTAACACGTCATGGCGTCCTAAATGATAACGCTGGAATGCTCCTAAGATTTGTCGTCTCACTTCTAATCCCAACATTCCTGTGTTTCCTTTTCCAGGAATGTTCATCAGAGTCTGACTGCCTTCTGCTGCTTCTTACTCCAGTTTCAAAAAGCCCCGTCTTAGTTTTTTTTTTTTTTTTTTTTATAAAACTATGATTCTCACATTTAAACACGGTGTTTAGCAGAGTTTCTGGTTCTTCCACTCTCTTCAGCACCTGCAGATGGAACTTTGTAGGTTTTAATCAGAAGGACAGATAGTGGAAGAAAATGACAGGTTTGGTAATTAATTTTATAAAAACAAATGGAGACAAGATCATTCAATAAAATGTTTGATATAAATCAACTTGTCTGACTTTTTGATGTTTTGAGTCTTATTTTCAGGAGCATTTTTAGCTTTCAGAACCCTCCTCTTCCCACCACTCCAACCAAACTACTAAAATAATCTGTGTATCACTGAGCGGGATTGAGCCTCAGATGAGTGCTTTAAACCAGGGGTTGTCTAACTTTTGGTTTTTATTGACCCCCTCATAATAACCCTCATTAAATAATTTAATTTGTCTCTTTAATGCAATGGAAATATTTGTAACATAAATACTTAAGACCTGTTCTTTAATAGTGTTAATACAATTGTTATACTTTTAAATATGAGGTATTTTTCATTTAAGACAATTTTTTTAATTTCAACTTCCAAAACTTGCAGTTTTTGATCAAATTAACATAATCAAAAGCCACTTTAAACCTTTACCTATTCACACAATGAACATAATAAATGTATCACAACTTCTTCAAATTATTGCAGAAAACTTTGTGTAAAACTGAACAGAATCAAAACCGCAGTAGTCAGACCAAGTAACGGCTTCATTTGTAAACCCATCAATGCCATACAGCTTTATTTATAGAGCACTTTAAACACCCACAGGACCAAAGTGCTGTACAGTACACAACAATCATACAGTCGGATAATAAAAGAAGTTAAAATGGTTAAAAGTCAACATTTTAGATGGTGTCAAAGGCCATGATGCCAGAACGCAAATAGCGGGTGGGCTGGCTGGGATTGGGGAGGGGGGTGTCTGGGGGTCCTCCCCTAGAAAATTTTGAATAAAGTAGATGTGCTTTCTTGCATTATGGTGCATTTTAACAGGTTGTTAAACATCTTCATGCTTGTATATATCCACAGCGACGAAGAGCTCAGGCTGCTGGGAGGAGTGGCCATCGCTCTGGGAGGAGTTCTCCCCAGCATTTGGGAGGTCCTGCAGCCCCAGGGAACCGAGAGGCCAGCGGACACTGGGTGGACGGATCGAATGGCATCTGCAGCCAGTTTCTTAGGATCTAGGTGCTGGTCATAAAATTAGAATATCATGAAAAAGTTAATTTATTTCAGTAATTCCATTCAAAAAGTGAAACTTGTATATTTGTTCATTACACAGACTGATGTATTTCAAATGGTTATTTGTTTTAATGTTGATGATTATAACTGACAACTAATGAAAACCCCATATTCAGTATCTCCGAAAATTTGAATATTGTGAAAATGTTCAATATTGAAGACGCCTTGTGCCACACACTAATCAGATAATTAACTCATAACACCTGCAAAGGCCTTTAAATGATCTCTCTGACAAGTTCTGTAGGCTACATGATCATGGGGAAGGCTGCTGACTTGACAGTTGTCCAAAAGACGACCACTGACACCTTGCACAAGGAGGGCAAGACACAAAATGGCATTGCTCAACAGGCTGGCTGTTCACATAGCTCTGTGTCCAAGCACATTGATAGAGAGGAGAAGGGAAGGAAACGATGTGGTAGAAAAAATGTAAAATCAATAAGGATAGCCGCACCTTGGATAGAATTGTGAAACAAAACCCATTCCAAAATGTGGAGGAGGTTCACAAAGGGGGGACTGCAGCTGGAGTCAGTGCTTCAAGAACCACCACACTCAGACATATGCAAGACATGGGCTTCAGATGTCACATTCCTTGTGTCAAGCTACTCTTGAACAAGAGATGGCATCAGAAGTGTCTCTCCTGGGACTGCTGCTGAGTGGTCCAAAGTAATGTTCTCTGATGAAAGTAAATTTTGCATTTCCTTTGGAAAACAAGGTCCCAGAGTCTGGAGGAAGAGAGGAGAGGCACAGAATCCACATTGCTTGAGATCTAGTGTCAAGTTTCTACAGTCAGTGATTTGTTTTGGGTGCCATGTGCCATTTATGCTGATGACACAGTTGTTTATTGTCAAGCTAAAACAGTTGCTGAGGCCTTCCAGCCTTTGCAATCACATTTGACATCAACTAGTCAGATTTGTTCCACCTCAAACTTGTCCTAAATGCAAAAAAAAAATATGTTTTTTTCAAACAGGAAGTCGGTCCCAGCAGTTCTTCCTCTGATTTTATCCTCATGCTGTCCCGATTGAGTTTCTTCATTCCTACAAAATATTTGTGTATCTTGGTCGACTTGCATCTCTCTTTTAAGCTCCATGTGGAAAACTTGATAAAGAAACTGAAAGTTAAACTGGATTTCTTGTTCAGAAACAGATCCTGTCTAACCCTGAATGCTAGAAAACGCCTTGTATCTGTGACTTTCCTTCCCTCCATTGATTACGGTGACATTATATACATGAACGCTCCTACAAGCACCCTGCAGATGTTGGATGCTGTCTATCATGGTGCACTAAGATTCATAACTGGCTGTGATTATCGTACCCACCACTGCACCCTGTATTCACTGGTTAACTGGACATCATTAACTTCACGCAGACTCTCTCACTGGTACATTTTCATCTTTAAATCACTTCTTGGTCTGCTGCCTTCATACATCTCCTCCTACATGTCTCTGCGTGAGTGCAGCTACAGCGTGCGCTCTCAGGACATTATTACCTGCAGTGTTCCCTCAGTGCGAACTGAACTT